TTTAAAAATATCTGTTTGACCTTCGTGTTTAACCCACTGCTGGATATATACCATTGAGTAATATTTATCCAGGCAGGGGTCCTCATCCCCCCCCCCCACACCAAATATCAGGAGAAGCAAATTTTACTAATTTATTCTCTGTATAGAAAATAATGTTAAATGTAAATACATATCTTTACGTTCAAGCCAGGGCCATTTTGTTAGGTTTTAAACTAGTAATTTTTATCTTTAGCGGACGGGTAATCAGTTTCTAAAATTATTTTTGCGCAAAAGAAACACTTCAGCTAGCTCATCTAGCGTATAAATTAACAGTTAACAAAATTGGGTAAATTAATTTTGCTAAAATCTTCGATCTTAAATGTTTGTGGTTTATAAAACATGTTAAATATCCTTTTTTGGTTGCACACTCGTAAGAAATTCTTAAAACCAAAATTCAGCATTTTTCTCACAGAGCGTTTAATATCATATTGGATTATATCTCAGCTTAACGCCAAAATACGCACACAATGCTCGGCTATAAATAAACATTTCTATGCAGAAAATACTAGGATGCTTGCAAAAATTTTGTACGTTCAGAAAAAAATGATATGTTGAAAACTGACAAGTAAAATTAAACTGAAACATCGCATAGTTAATTCAATCCTAGTTAAACATTATATTATTACTTTTCACAGCAGGCACATTATAAATTACTTTAACCAAATATAAAAGGAACATTAATATTCTTTTGATAAACCTCCGGCTATACACATAGGTTTAAATTGATTTAACCACACATACGGGCAAGGAAGATTTGTATTCCTATATGCGTAAGAAATCCACAAATTATTTCCCGCGCTAAATTCGTTCTGCGGATTTTTATCATCGCCGCGGACGCTAGATTTCTGAGAAGAACATATACAACACAACACAAGGATGAATAAAAAATTGATACGACGTTTTTGCACGACACTACTCTTTCTGGTTAGACTATGAACCGGGGGGGGGGGCCTCATCCGTTTCGATCAAACATAAAAAAGGAGAGTGTAACCTGCTGAGGCAAGTAGAAGTCAACCAAGTATGATATTGAATATGCCAGAAGTGCACGCTTCAGTAACAAAAACAGTTTTTGTATGATACATTATTATATAAAAGGTCTAATTTGATGTTAAAAGATTTTAGAAAATAATATTTGTTTATTGGAAGTTAGGGAAACATGCAAATATAATACATACACATGTCAATATTGGAGTAGAACCACCTAAAATGTTATCGGCTTTATAAATTAGAAGCCGCTTGTTTAACATGTTTAAAACATTTAATGGAATGCAGGTCATGCAGGTAGACTGGAAGCATTTTTTTTACAAGGGAGGGGAGGGGGGGTTAAGCTTGGTTTAAACAGAAACTTTCAAAAGGGAAGGGGGGGAGCGCAGTCCTTGATTACCCCTTCTGCCCCATGCATTATCTGCTCAACCAGGGGAGGGGGGTCATCCCCCAAAGCCCCCCTGTGTGTGGTTGATATATTCGTAGTTTAATCGCTCCTTTTTTTTCTTTCATATTTGATCATATAAACTTCAAGGTTAATTGATGCTTCGTTCAATCTTTACCTCAATTCCTGGTGACACACTAGACAGGAGTGTACACAAAGGGGGGGGGATCATTGGGGTTGACCCCCTCACATAGAACTGATAACTATGCTTTCTAAGGTCTCAGGTCCCAGGTCAGTCTTCCCAGGAAAATAAAAAAAATCTTTTCCCCCTCAATAGATTACTGTATATGCGCCCCTAGGTTCTGACACACAAGAGAACATCAATCATTTATTACACAAATATTACCATTATATCCTTATACAAGATTCATTGAACAAGAAAACTAAAATCTTTATTTATTCACGCTTTGAACTCTACATTATTACATGAAAAAAACATAATGTTGGTTCAAAAATCATCTTGTAAAGGTTAGTTTACTTGCTTTATAGGGTCTGTATACGTAATTTCAAGTGACCCTTTATTATAGAGTGGCATTTCATATTTACAAAGGTACCCTTAAAATATCTATTTGATAAAGTATGAATTAGATATCCATGTTTTTAATTTTGAAAACTAATTATTTAAATTGAAGTTTCTTGCTCATTCCTGCTGCAGGAAAACATTAAACTCCGTTCTCTCTCTGTATTTATAAATTTTCACTAAAAAGTTCTTCTCATTCAGGTTTTCTTTGAAGTTAAGAAGTTTCAAGCCTTTACTCTTAAACTTCGTAAACCTCATTGACTCCTAAATTATTCCGTTTTTTTCCTAAACAAGAAGACGATATTTGACAACGTTCCCCAATGCATTTTCATTAAATTTATGTGCGAAAGCCAGCCACAACAATTTCTCTTCCGAGCCACATTCTCCTTATTTTCTCCGATTCTCGTCCGAGCCATCCTCAAAATCCTCGTCGACTTCCATTATTATGTTTTAACGTGTCAAATCCGTGAAGATAAAACTTTAAAAAAAATATCTGACCACGTTAGGGCAAAAACTAATTAAATCTCTTCTGCCTACGCAATGGCTAACCTTTACGATATAAAATTAAATACAAAATATTTGTTATACCACTGGCTTTTATTTATCCCATGGAACCATTCGGAATGCGTGTAAAAAAGAAACATTTCAAAGGACATAAAATTTCTGATCTTTAATTCAATTGAAGCTATTTTTTTTCGATTTACAAAAGATAAATATTTCAACTATGCACCAACAGGGCCAGATTTTTTCGTCGTTAACGATCCTTCACGAATGGTCGCTGTTAACCCTATCTCTGTTGGGGTACTTGAAAACCAGGATATGCTGGGGGGGTCAATTTGACCCCCCCCCTCTAAATCCCATGTTTGATGTCCAAATATGACAAATGATACATCATTGGAAAGCTCTTATGCTCTACTTTTAGAATCTGAAAAAAAATTTGCAAATTTGCAAAAATTGAATTTTTTATCGCAAAATCCAGTTATATAGTAAAAATGTTTGCAAAGATAAATTTGTCCAAAAAATGAAAAATTATACATTTTTGAAAAGCCTTTGACCATGCCATTTCAAATATGCAAAAAATTTTGCAAAATTTTAAATAACCTGATTTATAATCAAGAAAAACTAAAAATGTGCAAATTTCCTTTGATAGGTTGTTTGCAAAAACTTTGCAATTTTTTTTCGCAAAACTTGTGCAATTCGTTTCCTTATGTCAAAGGCTTTCCAAAAAGCTAAATTTTATCAAAATCTGACAAGTGGAAGTGGGTCAAAACAAAGATTTAGTTTGTTAAAGGAATAAGCAGTCATTCAGGCAGTGTGCCTGAGGACTCAGGCAGTTAGTATAAAAGCCCGGTTTTAGGCCTAAAGGGAGGGCTTTGGGTATGTAGGAAAAGTCAGAAAATTTCAACAGCCTCAGACCAATACTTTTTGAGTTATGTAAAAAAAACTACAGGGGGGGGGGGCCAAATTGACCCCCCCCCAGCAGGAATAGGGTTAACGATCGTTAACAAAACGACGAGTTTTGTAAAAAACGATCGTTCTTAAAAACGATCGTTTTAAAAACGACAATTTTTAAAAAACGAACTTTTTATAAAACGATAGTTTTTAAAAACGATCGTTTCGTTTTCGATTTTTCGTCGTCGTTTTTATAATGAAACGATCAATTAAAAAAATGAAAACGTTAACATCCCTAAACGTAAAGTATATTTTAAGTTACATTACACTATCGATGACATCTCTAATTCATTGCAGTACTATTTTGACATGTTGAGAGTAAATTTCTTTAGTTTACAAGTTCAAGGGATTGAAGCTGTACAAAATTTGAAATATCTCAAAGAATTAAAATCATCAAGTTCTGAACATTGAAAGAGTTAGAAAGAATGATCAAAATGGTCCCAATATATTGCTTCCGAATCTCGAGGTTCGGAAGCAATATGGGGGTTTAGCGCAATGCCGCAAATCAAAACGAAACACAAACGCGATTTCAAACAAAATCTACAAATTTTCGTTTTTCCAGACCGATCTTTGATTAAAAAAATATTATGCAGATGTGAACCCCTATCAGTGTATTGTAAATAGCGTCAGAGACTTTCAATATTTCAATATATAAAATCTACAGAAATAGAACAATAAAAAAGTAAATCAAAGCAAATACGAAAAATCTATAGTTAAACTTTTAGGGTTCTAAAATTTAGACTTAAAGTCTTTGAAGTGAACTTCTATAAGTAGGGATGTTAATATTTTCAATTTTTTAAAAAACGATCGTTTCGTTATGAAAACAACGACGAAAAATCAAAAATCGTTTTCTAGGACGGACTCAAAAACTGTGCGTGTTCAACTCATTTTACTTTAGTTTGACGTGAAAAGTAAATTTTATTTTATTTCCTTAAAATTAGTTATTCCAATTCAATAATAAAAAAACCGCTTTTAAGTTAGTTAGAAAAAACCATCCTTTTCAACATCCGTCTCCATCCTGTTCAGAATTTGTATTTATCAGCGTAGATCCATGCACACAATTAACAGTTTTAACAGTAGAACATTACATTAAATGTACTCCATTCTTTAGGAGACACTTAATTCTCAGATCTGTTTATTGATATGCCTTTACACTAGAACTACCTTGCTGATACAATTTTACGAAATTTAACCATTTCCGTGAGTTCGGATTTTATAAAATTCTAGGTTTAGATAGAAATTATTCGTGAACACATTTTTTCTTTTCAACACTTTCGATTTTAAAAAGAAAACAAGTTTCGCGGGATTTTTTTTCTCGACCCAAGTTCCGCCAAAAAGGATTTAAAATATACAAAAGATGCGATTTACGAAAAAAAATACAATTTTACACAATTATGCATGAACACTTTTTTTTGGGCTTAACCTGTATATAATTTTCCCGCTTCTAGTTAGATTTCTCTGTATTCTACAAAGCTTAGAAAAATCGAGGCGGAAAATATGCCTTTTTGACTAACCTTATATTTCACTTGATTTTTCCAATTTATCTTTAATTTTCTTTATTTTATTAATCATGAAAACTTAAGTACAATATAAACATTTAAACATTTTTAATCATCATAAGCATTTAAAGTTTTTATGGATCCTTAGTAGATTCATCAGTATTTTTAGATTTATCCTTGGTTGTTTAGAGAGCAGTCTCGGTGTCAATAGATGCACAATCTATCGTTCTCTGAGTACTTTCCTTGACAGAATCTTTCTTAGTTGAAGCAGACTCTTTGGCATCCTCTAGAACACTTTTAGTATTCTCTTTAGCAGTTGACAGTGATTCCTTGGTCCCGTCCCAAGCCGATGATGCAGTGTCTTTGGTGCTGTCCCAAACTGATGATGCAGTGTCTTTGGTGCTGTCCCAAACAGATGATGCTGTATCTTTGGTGCTGTCCCAGGCAGATGATGTGGTGTCCTTGGTGCTGTCCCAAACAGATGATGCTGTATCTTTGGTGCTGTCCCAGGCAGATGATGTGGTATCTTTGACAGATTGACCGATACTCTTAGCGTCCTTCTGAACAGCAGTTGTAGTCTCCATTTTATATTCAGGATAGTTTTACTGTCTTGTGGAAAGTATAATTGTTTACTGATGAGAAATAATTACGGGTTGGTGTTTATATACTATCATGACCCCCCCCATGCATGCGCAGTAGTGTAAGGCAAAAGTTATTACGCATCAAATCCACAATGACGCAGAATTATTGAAATTTTACTGTTCCTAATAATATGTCTTAAGGTTTCTTAAAATAAGCTCGTTACATTTAGAATTTTTTAAAATCTAAACATTAAGTTTTAAAGTCGAAAATTAACTGATATTTGCACACATATCTTGAAGAGATTGTTTGTTAAAACCTGCGAGAAATTTTAGGTTTGGTTTATTTTTAAGAACTGATATTTGTTTGGCTGAGATTGGTTGAAAATAAACTCAAACTTTGGCCTTGATTAAAGGCACTGTCAACGTAAATTCAAGAAATCCTTCATTTAAAGAGATACATAACCTTTGAAACCTTTGTCTGATCAAAAAAAAGACGAATTTATTCTTGCTTTTGGACTAATAAGTGATAATTTTCAACTGTGGTTTTGTCTGAAAAATTAACTTGCGTAGGATAAATAAAATTGACAGAATTCACAACATTTTAAGACAAAAAACGAAAATACCTAGAACCTACTTACCCGTTTTTTCGGGGTAAAGAGGAAAACTTATTTTAATGGGGGATAGGGGGGGGGGGCAGGTGACTTCAAATTACATTGAAAGTCCCTTTAATTAATTAAGCAAAGACAAATAATAAAATCTTAAGTTCATTAAAATTGTTACTGGGACATAAAACGTCGAGTTCAAGTCAATTTTCCCGCCAGATTTTTCTCTCTTTCAAACTTTTTATTGAAACAATAAAGGTAAAGATCTGAGAAAATTGTGTAATAATGATAAAAAAACACACGAATATTCATTTATATATATACATACAGATTTCACCCAGTTGGTAAGTGGTTCAAAAGCCGGTGTTATGACACGACTATTGAAACTCGTCTTAAACTTCACTCTAATGCTTGAGCTTATTTTGGCTGGGCTGTAAAATTGCAAGACATGGTTTATAGTTTGAACGCCTTGTTTTTTGATTTTACCTCACTAACTAACTTATAAATTTGTAGCCCTAGACATGTACATTTTAGGAATATAAATCACTTGATTTTTGTGTGATTCCTTGCAACCTTTTTGATAACTGTGGCACATTTATCTCTCCAACTAGAAGGGAATGCTAATGATTTATTTGGCGTACTGTCACGTTTTCCTTGATATTATCTGTATGTATTTTTTAAAATGTATATTAAACTTCATAAAAGATTGGTATCCGGAACTTCAAATGGACAGGAATTTATAGTCTATACGTTTTACGAAGAAAGTTAAACAAAACTAATTTTCTGATTTATTGATTATAAGAATTAACAAAATATTACATAAATAGAATGATTTAAATCTTAAAATATTTAATTTAAATTTTGAAATAATTAATTTGAAATTTGAAATGTTGAATTTAAAATTTGAAATACATGAATTATTAAAAGATTAATTGAAAAACATTAATAAAATACAGGGCCAGTCAAAAAACTTACATATATGCTGCCATCCCATGCTTTTTAACTAACCCTGAACCATATAATTTAATAACAGAAAGTAGCAAGAAGCTTGACAATAAAATTTTTTTCTGATTTACCTTTTTAACTATTAAACACAATTGAAATAATATTTGAAGGAAATGGGCTATAATCTATACCAATGTTGAATCCAAAAAAATGGTGCCAATTATAACTTAGAGTCTAAAATTAAGACTCATTGTTTCAAACAATTTGAATCAAGTGTGATGATTATGTTTTAACGATACATTCAAGGCAACTTTATTGTATAAATATTTAGGCCAGCAAAACCATTTTGATTTAGAGCAAAAGCACCATGGTGGATTATACCAAATATGTAATATATGAAGGAGAAAAGTTCAGGAATTTTTTGGGTTGTTTTTTAGAAATGGGAATGATCCCAATAAACATTTTAGAAAGGAATTGAAATCATTCTTGTCAAAAAACAATTTTTAATTGATCTTGAGTTCCAATGTTAGAAATTTTATCAATAGATCTATTTCAACCTTTAAAAATAAATTAAACTGATTTCAAATATATTGGATAGTTTTTGTAAATAATCTCTTTGAGAAAATGCATTTGCAAACTTTGATAAATTAATTTATCTACAAAATGTCTGTTATTTTCTACTATGCATGATGTTCAGAAAAAAATAATTTCCAAACTGTAACGTAACGAGCATATTTTAAAGAACATTTTAAGAGACTGTAGACTAAATTTCTAGTGACCTTTCATCTGTAGAGATGGCATGTCTGATTAACTACAGTACACTTAAAAGCATTGTCTGATGAAGCATGAATGAGATATCCCTAATTTCTCTTTTTTTTTTTTTTTTCCAATTGTGAAAATTTTCAATTTAGTGAAACGAGGATATCTTCCACATCGTTCAAAAGGGTACTGTTGTGAATCGGATATGGCCTTTTTTTAAAGCAGGGTCACTCTAAATTACAACGACAATCCCTTTACATTAAAATTAGGTTTCCATATGATAAATCCATAAACTGCGTAACAGTCAAATTTATAAGATTGTGCGTCATAACGCATTTGATGCGTAATTACTTTTGCATGATAATATCAGACACTATTACGCCATTTACTAACTAGATGATATTCTAAGAATGTGAAATTGAAGGAATAAGTGGAAAAAAAAAATTTGTTTATATCTCAATCCAAATAAAAAATAAGCTATTTTTAATTAAAAAAGCTAAATCAAAAAGTGCAAAATTGTATTTAAAAAACTTATCATAAAAAAATATTGCTTTGATATAAATATTGCTAGTATGAAGGATTTTTGCTCAAAATAAGAAAATATTAAAATTAGAAATGACATAATTTCATATAACTTATAGATAAAATGTTATAATATCATTATATTCGTTTAAAGTTCTTCTGCACTGCAGAATAAAGGAAATATGTCATGATTTTATAACATATAATTTTAAAGCAATTTTCTGTTTTATTTTGACCATCAGAAGTTTAAGCTATGTTTTTTATTTTAAAGTTTATAAATTTTATCAATCAGCAAGTTTTACAAAATAAACAATTTTAAAATTTTATAGGGAACGTTCACTGACGGGAATTCTGAACCAATTAATGTCTATTAAAAAGATTTTCTAAAGTTCTAAATAAAAGTTTGTGATAAAATTGAGATCTTTACAATATATCAAGAAACATTATGAAACAATAATTAAGCTTTGCTTCAAGTTTAACATGTTCTGAGTTCTAATAAATGATTAATAAATCTGCGCGTATTTTAATGTATCTTATGACGGTAATTTACAAAAAATCCCAGATCAGTAGATAGAAAAGTCTAAAAATATCTAATAAAAGGATTTCAAAAATGCATATGGTGCGACATGGAGAATAATTTGATTAACATGGTGAACAAGTTAAACATTTAATGCAGCTAATTCTAGAACTGGAAAACAACTGATTCTAGAAGTGGATAACAGCTGAATCTAAGACGGAATAATTTCTGATTCTAGAACTGGAAACAGAGGATAACAGCTGATTCTAAAACTAGATAACATCGTTTTCTAGAACTACATAGATACCAACTGGTTCTAAACTGGATAACAGCATGATTCTAGAATTATATAACAGCTGATTCTAAAACTATGTTACTGCTGATTCTTGATCTGGATTACAGCTGATTATTGAACTGAATAACAGCTTATTCTAGAATGATTAAAGTTGTGAACGATTTAAACAATTAATGCTGCTAATTCTAGAACTAAAATAGAGCTGACTCAATAACTATATATAAAAGCTGATTAGCTAGAACTAGATAACAGCTGATTCTACAACTATACAACAGCTGGCTCTAGAAAGGGATAACAGTTGACTTTTAAACCCATGCTGGTAAGATATATCAGCTGACTTCTGCTAATTATGTTTTGCGGAATTGTGAAGAATAAATCCTAAAATCCAACTATTTAGGTAGATTTTACAATACGCTTAACAATTGGTTCTGGTTTCAGCTGCAGCAAAGTTCCAGGAACAGTTCTCATCCCTCTCTCCCTAGAATACATTTTTCAAAATTAGCAACGAGACAACAGAGGTCAGAACTCAGAACTTTTGTGTAAAGTAACGTTAATCTTCACTTATACCTGAGCTTGATATTTAATGTGGGCACTTTTAAATTTGAGCATCTATGCTTTATCCCCAGTAAAATTGAGAGAACTCAATTAACCTTTTTTACATCATCTACCTAGTTTAATATTCCTTCCAGAACCGGAGCTGGGAACTCTTGTATTGTGGATATCAAGATTTTTGTTAATCTGCATATTAATCTAATCTTAATTCAATATTCCGCATGGCATGATCGTTCCTGGTCAGGGTTTGAAGGGAGCTTTGATTAATAAAAAATCCCACTGTGGATATCGAGATCAGGTGATCAATGTGATTCTTAGTAGATATATTATTTTCATAAATTATCCCGAAATGTTTAAAATACCTGAATATTTCCTTCCAAAGATTGCATTTCTTCAATTCATCTTGATCATATTCCTTCATAATCTCATCAATATCAATCTCAAGATAGTTAGACCCATCTACTTCCGTTCTCTCCCATCTAGAAATATATGATTAGACTATTTTACTTCCGTTCTCTCACATCTAGAAATATATAGTTATACCCTTCTACTTCCGTTCTCTCCCATCTAGAAATATAAAGTTAGACCCTTCTACTTCCGTTCTTTCCCATCTAGAAATATATAATTAGACCCTTCTACTTCCGTTCTCTCCCATCTAGAAATATAAAGTTAGACCCTTCTACTTCCGTTCTTTCCCATCTAGAAATATATAGTTAGAACCTTCTACTTCCTTTCTCTCCCATCTAGAAATATAAAGTTAGACCCTTCTACTTCCGGTCTCTGCCGTCTAGAACTATATAGTTGGACCCTTCTACTTCCGTTCTCTGCGGTCTAGAAATATATAGTTAGACCCTTCTACTTCTGTTCTTTCCCATCTAGAAATATTGAGTTAGACCCATCTACTTCCGTTCTTTCCCATCTAGAAATATATAGTTAGAAACTTCTACTTCCGTTCTCACCCATCTAGAAATATAAAGTTAGACCCTTCTACTTCCGTTCTCTCCCGTCTAGAAATATATAGTTAGAAACTTCTACTTCCGTTCTCACCCATCTAGAAATATAAAGTTAGACCCTTCTACTTCCGTTCTCTCCCGTCTAGAAATATTTAGTTATACCCTTCTACTTCCGTTCTTTCACACTTAGAAATATATGATTTAACCCTTCTCTTCTTCTCCTAGCTCTCTTCCATCTAGAAATATATAGTTAGACCCTTTCACTTCCGCTCTCTCCCATCTAGAAATACATCTTGTATAATTCACTAATGTAAAAACGCATCTAGAATTATAAAGATACAGGAATTTTTTCAAGCCGAGAATAGCGCATTTACAAAAAATGTTTTAAAAACAAAATAAATCTAACTAGTTTTATACAGAGTAATTGATTAACATCCGAATCAGGCTTTTTTGTTTAAAGGAATTATGTATCTTCTTAATACAATGATTATATTTCCAAAATTAAATAATGATTTATTTTGTTTATCATGAATTGATAATGAAATCTTCAGAAGTTAACAAATCTAATTCTTAGAAATTACAAACCATTATCATTACTGCGCATAAACCATATTGTATCAAGATATATACACATGACCATTTTCCTTTCTAACTCTCTCAATTCTCCCCTACACACCCACTGAACCTCCACCCCCACCTCCCCCCCCCATTCCCTGCAGTTGCATTTTCTAGTATTCCCTATGAAGCATACAGCCTCTACGTGATATTATAAACCCACCCTCTCTCAAGAAAATAAAAAGTAAGGAAATATCACTTCATGCACCCTTAGTCATTTTATGCTAAATTTTAACTTTATTTATATATTTTTCTTGCTACCATATTTTTCAAGAAATTTGTAGGTTTTCTTTTTGATGTTTTTGTTTTACTTTAGTTTCATTGGCAAATCCTAATCCAGATCCTTCCGGCTGCAGTGTACTGCACTTGGGGTGGGGAGTGGGGGGAGGGGGGGTCATGGCATTATATAAACACCAACCCGTGACTATTAAAGATCAGTAAATCAATATATTTCCTACAAGTCAGATAGCTAGTCCTGAATATAAAATGGCGACTACAACTGCTCTGAAGAATGATGCTAAGAGTACAGGTCAATCTGTTCATGATTCTTCATCATTTGTTGCTGATGGCACAAACGAATCACTGTCAACTGCCAAAGAGAATACTAAAAGTGTGCTAGATGATGCCAAAGAGTCTGCGACAGATATCAGCAAAATTCCAAGGAGTACTATTGAATCTGCTAAGGATCTCACGCACAATGCGGTAACAGAGCTCACCAAAATCCCGACAAATCTCCGAGATTATTTTTTCAGCGATCCGCACTTTGAACTGAGCTGGGAGCACTATGATAAAATAAAGGAGCATATTCTAGGAGTGTCTGCTGATCTATGGCATAAATTTGATCATCAATTGAGAAGTTTATCCTATACTCCTCCTGCTGAACAGGGAGAAGTGGAGATAAAAGAATATGATCAAAAGACGAATACACCATTTCCTAGGTAATTTTTTACTTTTAACTTGAATGTATATTGTATAAGGAACCACAATTGAAAATTATTAATTTTTAGACGGCAGACATGAAAGATTGGTTTTTAGTTGCGCAAACTTGGCATATTTGATTTTTAAACTTTAATATTTCTTCAGATATTGGATGCTGCCCTCTTTCCCTGAGTTGAAGACGAAGGTGATGAACCTCAACCTGTTCCAGGAGGTCGACAACGAGCTCATCAGGTTCAAGGAAGACGATACAAGTCTCGAGGTCAGTCTCGACACTCACAACTTCAAACCTGACGAGATCAACGTGACCGTGGACAAGGGAATCCTCTACATACTCGGGAAACACGAGGATATCTCTGAGAATAAGAAGCACATCACTGTACGGGAATTCCGACGAATGTACACTCTCCCGGAGGGAATGGGTAAAGACGACGTTGTATCCAATCTTTCCACTGACGGAATCCTAGTAGTTACTGCCAAGTCTCAAAAGGCTTTGTAAATAATTATCAAATCAAGAGTTTTATCATATTTTAATAAATTGTTTTGACCATCTAGTTTCTTTGTTTCCATAATTAACATCTAAAAAATAGAATGGGTTTCGTAGAGTTAATCTTTTTTACTAATTTCGTCAACACTGTTTATGATTTAGACTGCTTTGAGTTTAACATGTACGAAAGTAATATTTTAAGTATAAAAAAGGCTGGCTACATTTTTAAGGCATAAAAAAGACTGGCTAAATTTTGGTTTATCTTTAGATTGTCTTTCATCTATCATATTTTCGTGGGACACGATCTATACCTGACTTGTGTACTGGGGTCTCCAGTTGAAGCAAAGTTTACCCAATGGGTGGACAGCTGGCGACTCATTTCTTTATCCCTAAATGATAAATTAAAATGGAAGAATTTTTGGAACTGTTTTTAGAATTTAGAAATTGCGAACATTTTATTCTAAATTCGACACTTTGTTAGGGATAAAAACAATTGTAAAATATTTTTAACGTTGAAACAAATTTTAAGTGTTTTCGTAATGATATCGATTTTGTTCTTTATTACGACATACGTAAATATTAGTGATGTGTATCTTCTATATGTATAAAGTTGTAATCTCTGTTGTTTGTTTGTCCGATCTCAACTCAGGAACCTCTGGACCGATTTTGCCTCAAATTTTGAATGGGGAACTCGCGATTGTTTTAGCTAGGTTTTAAAACTTTAATAGCGAACATTTAGTTTCCTAGTAAAATTATTTAAGTGCGGGTAAACGGCTGGAGTAATTTTTAGCAACCTGGGCAGCGCTGGGTTCCCAAGCTAGTATCTGTATATATAAAGTTTGTCCGATTTAAAAGTTGGAATAAGAAGCACGAGAAGCGAGTAATGAGTTCCTTTCTGAACGTTTTCTCTACCTTTAAAACTCTGGTAAAAATGGTGGATTAATTCGCGGTTTTGCTGTTTTCCTTTTTAAAAGTTTCCGTCTCTCTAGTCTAAACCTACCTATGATCTGCTAATGTATTCTTCATCCCCCAGAGTTTAGGACTAAACAGGTAATGAAGTTCGTCTGCGTGACACACCCCCTCCCAGAGTGGTCCATGCAGGGTTACTTTTCCTAAAAATTGCTCTCTTTAGAATCTCTCAGCATGATTTTAAACGAGTTTTTACAGCAAATCATAGAATTGAAAAATTAAAATTTTAAATTTTACATTAAATTTGTATTAATTCTTAAAGCATAAAGGCTGCATTCCATGAATTAAAGATTGTTTCCTACATTGTTTTCAGAATAAATATTGATAGCTTTAGTTGTCTTAGTACATTTAATAACTTTTTTATTAATTTTAGCCTCAAGTCTTTTCTCTAAATCATTGTCATTACTCTTATTTGGCATATTATTTTGACTAAACAGGTGTTTTTAACCAATGTAATCACCTAAATCTCAATGTCAGTATAAAATAAATTATCTTATATTGGCCTGAAATATTTACCAACACTGCCAAATAGAACGCACTTATGCACTTATTATAACAAAAAGGACACACAATGAGAACGCCCAGAAGGGACGAAAATTGTAAACTCATATTAAGGAAGCACTCTACATACATCGCAGTTTTATATTCATAATACAGTAGTCAGCGTCTATATAACTATAATAAAGACGACTTTTCTATTTCACTTTTAATTTCTAACAAGCTTTTTTTCAAATTACAAGTGTACAAGTAAACACAGAGAAGCTGTTAATTTCTATCTTTTTCCATTTTATATATGTATTCTTGCTGTTTGAACACTTGGTAGAAATAACAAATTTAAGTCGTCTTCATTGTAGTGATATAAACGACGACCACTCTAGTACAAAAGTCTTGCCAAAGGAAATGATTAATTTAGTATGCTGCCACGCGTTGTTGTCTGTACATGTATACACTACAGTGTACAATACTTGCTCCAGCTACCCGAAAGTCGGTACGGTGCTTTAAGTAAAGCAAAGTAATGTAAAGTAACCTTTCGAGACTGTATCCAGTATAAACTTGAAAGCTAGACCTCCAGCTGATAGAGTCAGCAGATCACCGAACTTCCATTTTCCTTTGTACACAAACCTAAACAATGTCGCAAGTTTAACTTTCTATTTCCGTCACACAAACTTAAAGAAAGGCCCCATTTTAACTTTCTACTTCCGGTACACGAGCCTAAACAACATAGACGCCATTTAAACTTTCTTTTTCCGGTGCACAATCCTAAACAAAATTCGCGTCAGTTTATCTTTCTTTTTCCGGTACACCAACGTAAACAAAATAGAGGACATTTAAATTTCTTTTACCGGTCCACAAACCTAAACAAAATAGACGTCATTTAAATTTTATTTTCCGGCAAACAAACCTAAACCAAATTGGCGCCATTTTAACTTTCTTTTTCCGGCACAAAAACCTAAACCAAAATATGCAATTTAAACTTTCTTTTTTTCCGATACAAAGCTTTTATATATTTCTAAATTGAATCTATCATGATATTCTTAACTATTTACACCTTCTTTACATGAAAAGTAAATTAAAGGTGTGGGACATTTCATTAAAAGAGATTTCATAGATTTGACATTACAGGAATAAGACATTTCATAGACAAAATTAAGATAATAGGACATTTTAGACTGGACATTCATAGAAAAAGAAGATTTTTTTTACAGACAGAAAAAGTTCTAGATGCGTGAAAATCCAAAATTTATGGTCAATAAAAATGTGTCACCGTTAACTTAAAACTTGATTAGTGTAAATTAATTAACCAAATTTTATATTTTCGTAGAAACAATAGTGTATGATTTATTAAATAAGATGCCTTTGAAAAATAATTTGCCTAATCTATAAAATATTTCCCTGTCCATGAAATGTCCTGTCTATGAAATGTCCTGTCTTTGAAATGTCTTTTTAAGAGGTGCAAAGAACACATAACGTACTATATGAACATAAACGTTAAGACTGCAATTTAAGTTATTTGTAAAAAGATATAGAAAAATTTAAATTTCCATTTATTTTAATTTGAATATATATATATTTACCTATACTGATAAACGGGAACATTTTGTTGCGCAATTATCTGACAGAGATCTAAATACAAAAAATCAGTCAATCACAGAAAAATAAGTAAAAATAAGAAAAAATACGACGACATTTCAACAGAGCCGTTTGTGCTCATGTGACTTTTTTTAAAGAAAACCCTAAAGTAAAATAGAGTAGATAATTCATGGTTGTCAAGAAATAAAATGATAATTATGACAATGATTTTACAAATTCTAATGAAATTAGTTGTCGTCTTTCTTGTTTACCTAGTGTTCCTGCCTTGAAGTAAGAATCCGTGAAAAGTTGGATTAATTTCTCAGATCTATCAATCTTCTCATCCTACCATCCAAACCAAATCATATAATTAATATTCACAAACTTAGATGAGGAAACAAGCTAAAGCTACAGTGCAGTGAAATTAGAAACTACTGAAAAGATTATATTAAGCAAGCATATGGGTTCCGTAGAGCAATTTTAAATAAAATAACATCCCGCTCTGCAGTGTAAAGAGTCAAAAGACGAAAAAATTGTATACAACTCATACTGCAGAAGAAATTAGCTTCCGGTAATTTCGAAGTTTAAAAACTTGAAATTGATTTTACAAAACCGAATTAAACCATTAGATCGTTGGAATTTATTTCATAATTTTTTTTACTTTCCAAGTAGATAAAGTTGACTAAATCACAATTAATTTAAAAGCTATTTTTTAGCCTAATCTAAACAAAGGTAATTTATGATTATGAAATTTGGTTTTCCTTGGAGTGTTTTGAATTCCGAGATGTAGTTGGAGTTAAAATTGTAGATTCTCCAGGAACCAGTAAATCATACTCCTAGATTCATGTTTAAACTCATTCAGAGATAGTAAAATCATTCAGAGATAGTTAAACGCATTCAGAGATAGTTAAACTTATTTTTATAGTTAAATTTATTCAGAGATAGTGAAACTTATAAAGAAATAGTAAAACTTATTAAGAGATAGTTAAACTCATTCAGAGATAGTTAAACTCATTCATAGATAAACAAACTCATTTATAGATAGTTTAACTCATTCAGAGATATTTTAACTCATTCAGAGATAGTTTAACTCATTCAGAGATAGTTTAACTCATTCAGAGATAGCTAAGCTAGTAACCATAAATAACATGGATTTTGACCAAAACAAGCCAGAAAATTATTTCGACAAAATAACCTCAAGTTTGGGAAATAACGTAACGAAGAAAAAAAGCATAAAAACGTAAAAAAATACATACACATAATTGGGGATTTGAACAAAAATCTGAAAAAGGCGAAAACAAGAGTTTTATTGAAAACATGGAAATTTGAAAATAAAGATAAATTTCTTTGTACCTTCGCAATCTTAAGCATGATATCTCTGTCCTGGGTATCCAGGTCCTCTGTGTGGGAGTGAAACAGCACCATGGATAAATATTTCCACCAGGAGGGATCAGAAAATAAATTCCACCTAAATTAGAAGAAAACAAATTTTAAAAACCATTTTTCCCCAGTAATTAATAAAATTTTAAACCAACAAAGAAAGCATTTTAGAGAAAGCATCACAAGAAAGGTAAATTTTTTAAAAGAAAGCCCTCTGGAAATTGTCGGTCAGAGTTAATCAATAGTGAAAAGTAACAGTTCTAATCTAAATAACCCGGAATAATATTAATCGATTGAAGACTTGAAGACCGCGGCATTCATTTTGCATTACAGTTGCCAACCGCCCTCTGAAGAGAAAGACCTTCTCTTTTAGCAGTCCCGGCTTTACAGTTTGGTGGAATGCTGCGTTTAGTTACACATCTTGTATCCTACAGGGGAAGTGGACTGCTGCGGAAGATTCCTCTCAATGGGGCTTTAGGGCTTACACCCAACTCCCCATTTTGCATGGGGTGCAGTTATGGGTTTCCTTAATGCCTTTAACTCAGGAAAAAGTATAACAGAAGGAACACAGGGAGCAATCCCCTATACCCTTCCTCCTACAAACCTCTTTATCTCTCTTCTACCTGCTCCACAACAAGATAACAAAAGAACTATTTTGAGAGGCCTCAAAGTGTAGAAACAAGAAAAATAAGAAGAAAGAAGATAGTATTGAACAGGAAAGTTAGATGGGATGTTAAGCTTTACACTTTTTTGCCGATACCTGAATATTATAAAGTCTAATGTTCTAAAGTCTACCAGAATGTTGTAAAGTCTACCTGAATGTTCTAAAGTCTACCGGAATGTTGTAAAGTCTACCTGACGGGTTCTTTAAGAATATGAGACATGTTGAGAAGACCTTCATCTCTACATGTTCCAGTGATTAAAGGAACACATTGTACATCTCCATCCAGTAGGGCTTGCCTAGACAGTGAGAACCATAAAACAGTGGACTAGAGAGCCGACATTTTAGCAATTTTATGTGCAACATATCATTTATTTAGTAAAGTAGTTTTACCCAAATAGAGTCTAGTACAATAGATGGCAGCCTAGAATTTGTACACTCTCAGTATAGCTGTACAAGTGTCAATTCAGTTTTTGTGTCCGACAAAATTATTAATAATTGTGATAATTTTAGAATAAAGTTCTTATCTTACAGTGAAACAAGTCCCATTTTATGAGTTCTTTATTTTTTGTCTGTACACTTTTTTATTTAATCTTGGAAAACCTGTCAATAAATATGAGAAAATTTCGTTTTCCTTGTTATATTTGACACTTGTGACGTCGTGTATAATTGGTAAATTTCTCTGTTGCCACCTATTGTACTTGATAATCTGTTTGGTTTTACCAATAATTAAAATTAATTAATTGACCCATATTGGTGTGTGTACAGTGTACACCGTACACCGTATGTGTTTCATGTTCATGCATATTTAAAATACTAATTTGAGTAAGAAAGTTGGCTTTCTCTTCCATAGTTTTATGGGCTTCATCGTTGTAAAATGAAGAAATATATTAATCAAACTTTTGTGCTTTAACCTCTGTTTTTTTAAATTTATGACTTGGAGTTTTTGTATTTTCATTCAATTTTATAGTATGTCTTGTCAAAGTCTTAAACTCTGATTTAAATCATGTGTATTGAATTGCATATATTCTGTTTCATCAGCATGATATTGGAATATTAGCGAATCTTCAAATATTTCAGCAGATATCAGATTGTGAAATAGAGAAATCAATAGAATCGAGATACATAAGTTCATGGGATGGAGACAACACAATTATCGGTTAAAAATAGCTTTCTGAGTTTAATTGTCAATCTGTAATAAATGCTACAACTTAATAAACAACAACAATATCATCATCAGGACTATCCTTTAAAACAATATCGTCATCATCATCAACAACATTAAAGATGCATAGTTGTGTAACACCAACAACAACTTCAACAACATCATTAACTGCAATGAGTAGTTATGCAAACGTACTAACAAGTACAACAGCAAAAATTTAATAACAGTAAAAAAGCAGATCAAAAATAACAATAACAGCAACAGCAACGAAAACAACATCGTTAATAAAACTTTCAATAATAAAAATAAGATTGTTATCAACATAAACAATGTCATCAACAACGCGAACCTGGGATCTTTGGGTAGTATAGGAGTATCTGCCCAGACATCAACTACTGGCTTCCAAGGAGATGGACACATTGGGGCCCAGTCACCAGCAAAATTAAAGATTGCCTGGACAACAAATATTTTGTAAAATTTTGCCGACATTAAAAAAAAAATTTCAGCAAATATTTTGAAGCAAATTTTCCAAAAATTATTTTTTTGTTTCAAACTAAAGTTTTTGTTAAACAAATATTTAAAAAAAAACAAAAGTATATTAAAAACAAGAATCAATTAGATTGCCTATACCATCAAAGAATATTTTTGACCAAAAATGTATATAAATTTACGTCTAAAGAAAGATAGCTAGTCTAATCAAAAGGATTTGCAAGACAAAATTAATGATTGCCTTTAGCAAGCTTGAATTCTAAGCAAAATGAAAGATTACCTAAAAACACATAAAAAACATTTTAAAAGTTAAAATTGCCTAAAAAGAAAGAAAATAATTTTAAAGTAAAATTAGAGATTGCCGACAGATAAAAAAAATAATTTTAAAATTTACATTAAATACAACCTAATAAATAAATATTTATTTTCTATTTTTTGTTCTATTTTTATCTAACCTGTAAACGGACGGCTGAAACTGATTTAAGATATTCTAGTATTTTCTCGGATGAATCTGATCGGGCACATCCCAACCTTTCAGCATAGCTCCTGAACAATCTTATTAAACTACAGGGTTACCCACAAAAGAGGCGACTATAGAGACGACGAGACGACTATAGAGACGATTTAATTGGTCTACTTTACTACCATATTGGTCCACTAGCAATGGAAACTTGTTTCTTTTGTGCTTTTTTTAGTGCTTTGCTTGGTTCTTTCTTTCGATATTCAAGACAAAAATCTAAATTCAACCTTCAGATCGCTATATTAATTAATTCTCATCCTTTTTGACCCCTCTAGAACTCTTAAAACTGTTGAAAAAGAAGGCGACATGTTTTTGAGGACTCCTAGGTGTATTTGATGATGTTATTTATTTTATTTTGCTTTAGCAAATAGTTTTACCGTAGCTTGAAAATAAACTTATTAAGTACAATGTTTAATTCGGTCTTCTATTCAACAATTTTATTGGTTCCTCTGTTTATAATTCTATTGGTTCCTCTGTTTATAATTCTATTGGTTCCTCTGTTTATAATTCTATTGGTTCCTCTGTTTATAATTCTATTGGTTCCTCTGTTTATAATTGTATTGGCTCCTCTGTTTATAATTCTAAACAGAAGTTGAATATTAAACTTTGTCCATCTTTATTCGAAACCTCTATATTTTACTTGAAGATTTAAAGAGTCAAATTTAGTACGTTACCCCTTGAACCTTTATATTAGTAGCAATGAGGTTAGTTTTGTATTTTTTTTAGTTTTAAAATTAAAAATGTTCACAATTTTCGTCATTGTCTCTGAAGCACATATCCGGAAGTCCCTTTTACAGAGAAACCAAAAATAAAAGTAATCAATTTTTAGCATAGAAACATATCTTAATCCTTGACCACCCAACGGTTTAATGCCACTTTATAAATGTCGGATTCCTTGAAGATACGTCTACAGTCCCTTTAAAATGAACGAAGACGACTTTAGGAAGATTCTGACCTGGCATAAAGTTGGGGAGTCTTCCCAAGGACTTGTAGAGCCGAGCAGTTTGATATGAGAGGACCTGACTGAGCTATGGCTCTGTGGAATAAACCCCTGATAATATAGTTTTATCGAAACTTATTAAATCATAAAGTTTTTTTTTATGGCAAATTGCGAACATTTTCTAAATTTAATTTCAATTATGTAAACGGATGTTCACAATTTCTCGAGAAATCCAAATCTGGAAAACAGAAAAAAAATATGTTAAGCATTAACAGTAAGCAAAAATAATTTCAATATTATTATGGAATAAACCGTATGTTCATAACATTTTTTTATTTATAAGTTTTTAGCAAAGAAAAATTGAGCTACAGGGTTGCCCACAAAGGATGAGACTTCGGAGACAAATGCCTGGAATTTTTACGGTGTTTTATATTAATGATTCTCTGCAACAGCAAACTTGTTTCTTTCTTTTCTAATCATTCAATAAGCCATTAAAAGACTATATTCAATGCAGAAAACTTAATTGAACCTTAGGACCGTCATATTTTATGACTTTTATGTCGTCTTTCCAGTATCATTCTTTGTGGGTAACCCTGTATATATTAGTTTTATTCTCATATAACGATATGAATAATCAAATTTTAACAATGTTGAATTTTTCAATTTTTTCCCCTTTGAAGTTTTAAAATGAATTTATAAAATGAGTTTTAGTTAAACTATTTTCCTGCAGAGAGGAGAGGTATAGAGGCACATCAAACAAAAACTTCCTAAATATAAATATATTATAAATATATATAGTTTATTAAAAGATAAATATATGTAGTTCAAAATAGTCCAATATGAATATACAGGAGGTCCGAAAAAAACTTTGCCGAAGGGGTAGAGGTATAATACAGAGGAAAATTTTTTTATTCAAATTTTATAATGAGTGGAAAGATCCATATTACAGCTAGATTTTTTTAAACTACAACTTTTTTGCTGCAACCCAGATGTTTCTCTTTTTTTCATTTAATCATAAATACTAAATTCATATCTTAGACCTGCACTTTCCCCAAAAATAGTCACATTTCCAGGATCTCCTCCAAACTTATGAATGTTTTGTTTAACCCAGAGCAATCCTGCTCTCTGATCCCAAAGAGCTAGGTTACCTAAACATACAGAGTAAAAAGGTTTATATCTTTACAATTTTTAGATTACTAGGACTTACGAGGTTAATAAGGCCCTTCGCACCCCTCTTTCTTGTAATTTTAGCCTTAAAATTTAGTACAGTGAGACCCTTAATAACGAATACATCGGAAGAATTTATCAAATGTAGTCTTGACAATTTTTCAATGAGTTTTATACTATATTACGTAAATTTCAGTATTTGCGAAAATAAATAAATAGCCATGAATATGCGCGAATAGTTTTAAAGAGTTCCATGTAATCATTTGATCAAAAAACTAAATATCTGCAACATTCCATTATCAGAAAGTGAAGAATACGACATTTGATGAATTCTTTAGATGTATTCGTTATTAAGGGTTTCACTGTAAAAAACTAAAACTAAAGATTTAGCAGAATTTTGTTTTATGGTGGATTTCAATTTAATTAAAAATCGAAGTTTTTTAAGACAATGCTTTTTAATGACCAGTTAAAAAAAAGGTACTGCCACAAAAAACTGGGCCTGATCGGTTCAGACGTTTAGCAGTTATTTGATATAAACAGACACACCAACAGACAGACAAATATGTAGAATGTAGAAAATTTGTTGAAGAGACGAACATTTTCTTGAATTGGTTTTTTATCTGTTTTCCCCCATATTGCCAGATCATAAATTAATAAGTTGAAAAGTCTCAAGGCGTCATAATTCTAATATGATGAATCTGGAGTTTGAAATCGTTCTAAACTAAAATCAATGAGTCGACAAAATAATAAAAAACTCGAATTGCGTCAAAGTAAAATATATTGCACTTAAGATTGAAATCTTAAATGTATTATTCAATTGTTTGCTTTCCCTCCCATACTTATGTGCACAATCAAAACTTGAAGAGCTACGAGGTCACACAGTTATACCAGCAATGTCGCATAATTTTGACCTTCTCGTTCTGTCTTCACAATTTCTTTTTAATTACACTCTGTATGTACAAAATGTAGACAAAATCATGCATAACCATTTATATTTATAAAACTAAATAAATTACTGCCATACTATAAAAAGATATAAAACGAAAGGAATCTAAATGTCTGAATATAAATTATTATTTTCAGTGGGAGCATATGCACAGATCATTAAGTTTAAATTTAAAAGAAAAGAAATAATGTAAACCAAGCATTGTTAACATCAATGTTTTTAACTTTAATAATTTATTTTGGTTAAGGGGTGCAGTGGGCACAAGCTCACGCATAATCAAATGTAGTCTTGACAATTTTTCAATGAGTTTTATACTATATTACGTAAATTTCAGTATTTGCGAAAATAAATAAATAGCCATGAATATGCGCGAATAGTTTTAAAGAGTTCCATGTAATCATTTGATCAAAAAACTAAATATCTGCAACATTCCATTATCAGAAAGTGAAGAATACGACATTTGATGAATTCTTTAGATGTATTCGTTATTAAGGGTTTCACTGTAAAAAACTAAAACTAAAGATTTAGCAGAATTTTGTTTTATGGTGGATTTCAATTTAATTAAAAATCGAAGTTTTTTAAGACAATGCTTTTTAATGACCAGTTAAAAAAAAGGTACTGCCACAAAAAACTGGGCCTGATCGGTTCAGACGTTTAGCAGTTATTTGATATAAACAGACACACCAACAGACAGACAAATATGTAGAATGTAGAAAATTTGTTGAAGAGACGAACATTTTCTTGAATTGGTTTTTTATCTGTTTTCCCCCATATTGCCAGATCATAAATTAATAAGTTGAAAAGTCTCAAGGCGTCATAATTCTAATATGATGAATCTGGAGTTTGAAATCGTTCTAAACTAAAATCAATGAGTCGACAAAATAATAAAAAACTCGAATTGCGTCAAAGTAAAATATATTGCACTTAAGATTGAAATCTTAAATGTATTATTCAATTGTTTGCTTTCCCTCCCATACTTATGTGCACAATCAAAACTTGAAGAGCTACGAGGTCACACAGTTATACCAGCAATGTCGCATAATTTTGACCTTCTCGTTCTGTCTTCACAATTTCTTTTTAATTACACTCTGTATGTACAAAATGTAGACAAAATCATGCATAACCATTTATATTTATAAAACTAAATAAATTACTGCCATACTATAAAAAGATATAAAACGAAAGGAATCTAAATGTCTGAATATAAATTATTATTTTCAGTGGGAGCATATGCACAGATCATTAAGTTTAAATTTAAAAGAAAAGAAATAATGTGAACCAAGCATTGTTAACATCAATGTTTTTAACTTTAATAATTTATTTTGGTTAAGGGGTGCAGTGGGCACAAGCTCACGCATACAAATAAAACAATATATCAATAAATCTATTTCCACTTATTTTACGTGGACTGATCTTGGTTCCTGTTTTCCTTAGGCTTAACTATTAGGTTGGTTAAATGATAATGATTTTTGTTAATCGAATGTAGCGTTGATTTGCTAATACTTGTAAAAAGCTGGATTTTCAAACATAATTGAGTTATGCTCTTTTGTAATTTTCTTAGTCAGTCACAAAAAGTAAAAAGAAAGAAAATAAGGAATTTTTCCTTTTAAGAATTGATTTTGTTTTCCTCTGTCTATTCTCTTCCGTCTATCCTTTCCTTTCTTGTTTTGTGTTCTCTGGGTTCACTGGCTCAGTAAAAAATTCTCTCTCATATTCTCCCACTTAACTTTTCTTTACTTACATAGTGCTATCCTTTCTGCACTTTAATTGGATCAGCCTGTGCAAATGGCATGTTCATCAGTGCCCATCATTGGTCTATTGCTTGACAAAATCGCAACAAAGGTTGAACAAGTACAAAGGTTGAAAAATATATACCTGGCAGAAGATTGTCTTCCATGCATAGAAATCCCAGGGGTCCAACTCTGTAGTTAGCTGTAACTATCACCACCTTCACATATAGTTTAGAATAAGCATCACAACCCTATCATATAGTTTAGTATAAGTATCACAACCTTATCATATAGTTTAGTATAATTATCGCCACATTAACATATAGGTTAGTATAATTATCGCCACATTAACATATAGTTTAGTATAATTATCGCCACATTAACATATAGGTTAGTATAACTATCTCTATCTTATCATAAAGTATAGTACATCTAAGTAATCACAACCTTATCATAAAATCAAATATAGCTATGATCATCTCAACACATAGTTAAGTATAATTATAACCCCCTTAACATATAGTTTAGTTTAACTATCACCACTTTAACAAAAAGTTTAGTATAACTATCACCACTTTAACATATAGATTATTAACTCTAATCTTAACATTTTGTTTAGTATGTAACAAGCTTAAACAAATAGCTTTACATTTATAACTATCAACATCCTAACACTTAGTTTATTACAACTATCACTACCGTAAAACAAAGTTACCTAGATTACCAGTTTAGTATCTAAAAGGGGCCCTGGATTAGCTGTTTAGAATGTAGAAGGGGCCCTGGATTACCTGTTTAGTATCTAGAAGGGGCCCTGGAAGATAATTTTCTTCTGTAGCATCTCCCATGATAAACCCTCCTCCATACAACCAGTACATAACAGGCAGTACACCCGGTCTATCTCCAGTATCTAAACAATATTAGAACTTCAATGAGAAAAATAATACAGTTGGACCCATGAAGCTGTTAAATGGAGGGAATAGTGTTTGACACCAAAAGTTCAATGAACATGAAATAGAAATTATACAGATGTACATTGTTTTTTACACAGACCATTTCACTTAATAAGTTGATTATAAAGCTACTGGTCAAGCTACTTGCTATATAACAATATCAACCACACAAAAGATTGCTTAAATGTCGTCTTCCTAGTTCAAATTTTAATGGGTCCCTCTGTAGATGAGGAGTATCGCGAATAAAGCATGGAGATTGAAAATAACGGTGATTTTGATGTAAATGGTCCTAAATTAAAAAAGAATTGTGATGAAGATAATTCTGTTGATAATGATGATGATATTCCTGACTTTATTAGGATGATGTGGCGGAAGACGATCTGAGGAGTTTGAGGCCGGATTGAGACGCGGCAAGATGAACCAGAATCTGCCACGTCACCTTGATATTCGATTTCTTAAATTTAAAGTTTTTAAAATTTAGTCAATAAAGTATTTATTTAAACCTTCGAATTTATTATGATAATGATGACGATGATTATAAAGTTGACGGTACAAATGACGATCCTGAGGATAATTATGATGTCTATGATTACAAAAATGACAGTGAAAATGATGATGATGATGTTTACAGAAATAATAATGATAATGATGATGACGATGTTTACAAAAATGTCAATGATGCTGATAATGATGATGATGCCAATGATTACAATAAGATAATTATGATTATGATGCCTATGATTATTAATATGGTTATTATATTGATGATGATGATGATGATGATGATTATGATAATAAATACATAAATGACAATGATGATGATGATGATAATCATGATGATGAAAATGATGATGATGATGATGATGATGATGATGATGATGATGATGTGATGATAATCATGATGATGAAAATGATGATGATGATGATGATGATGATGATGATGATGATGATGATGATGATGATGATGATGATGATGATGTTTACCTGGGACATACACATTAAGATAAAGACAATCTTCCTGCCCCTCTAGTAGACCTTATAAAATACAGATTGGAACAGATGACAAAAAAATCCGGACACTAACAAAAATCCATTTTTCAACGAATTTCTGTAGAAAGTGATACTATTGCCGGGTAACCAAATATTCAGTTCATTAATCGTATTATTCTTTTATCACATAATTTCTTGAATACTATTTTTTGACTTAAGTCTATTTATTGCTATTCAAGAAAGCGAAAGAGAGATGCAATTAGTTATCGTGACGAGAATTCTTTCTTATACACACAGCTCTATCACTACGTGATGATATTGCAAATGCAACAGATCGCATCAGACTGTCATTACGATGCGTTGGAAAATTACATACTTGAAATACATTATTGAATCAAAATCTGACATAAACAAGATTAAAAAGTTATACATGTTTGTTTTGCTTCAGATTTCTTACAATACACTAGTAGAAGAAAATTAGATTTTCTCACAATACATTATTAATTAAGAAACAGATAAAATTTTGTTCGTACTATCGAACTGACTGAAAGAATTTGCTCGAAAACAAATTTAATATTTGTGAGTTATCCAGAAAAAATTGCTCATAGTTTAGGACAAATGTTAGTCATTACGAAATATTTCAAACAAAATTGTCGTTTTTCCTTTATTTTTGAAATAACCTGTAAGTGCAACAAAAAAAATTGCGCAAAGCTTATTGTATGTACCGTGAGTAAAATTTACAGAGTACATCCTATTACATAGTATTCAAAGGCTGGAAGCTCGAACGCAAAAATCAATAAGATGTTTATCAACAAATTCTTAAAATCTAAATCTGTAAAAAAAAGTTAAAGGTAAAGGTAAAATTAAAGGTAAAAGCATTGCTAGTGAGTGTACAGTCGATTTAGTCTTGAAAACTGATGCAACCGGATCTATGTAATTATTTTTTTCTTTTGCAACGAACTGTGAGATTTTTTAAAGATTTAAAGATGTAACAAATACAAATAATTTAAATCGCTTCTGCTTTTAAAGAAAGGATCTAAATATTTGTTAAAACATATTTTTGATACCTGTTACATAGTTCGACTGTAGGGGTTTAGGACACGGTCTTCCACCATCTAAAGAAAAATCATATTTCTAGAAATTCTAATTTGATATTTTTTCATTTTTATTTTAAATCTTTTTCTCTACAATCCACATATTGAACCATGATAAATTAATTCAGCCGTTGCCACACACTCACATTTTGTCATACCTTTATCCTTGCAACCTGATGGTGCAACCTTTGATAATTCAAGCTTATTATTATTATTATTATAATTATTAGTCGCAAAGATAAAGGGATTTGAAAAACAGAGTTTGTTGCCATTATTGATAAAAATTAAACTAAATAACATTATCTGATGATGTGACCCTTTGGTATTTCAAACTTTCAATTCTGCTAAAGAAACTAATGTGAAATATCAAAGGTTTACACTATCATGTTGTAAAGATCTATTTTAGTTGCATCATTTTAAAAAAAACCACAAACCTAGAACTCCCTCCCAAGGAGGTGGATCTGAAGGATGCATGAACCTCCTTCCTCCCGTAGGAGGGGCGGCAAAGGGGATCCTTGTGTAGGAAGCATACCCAGTTCCTAGGAGTAGGAGATTATAGCGGTTCGAAAAAAGGAGCCTCCCCTCCCTACCCCCACCCCCCAGTTTAATTGAAGCAGTCCAACATAGCCATAAAAATAATAATAAAATAATAATAATAATAATAATAATAATAATAATAATAATAATAATAACAATAATAATAACCTGATTTAGTTTTACGTCGTCTTCCAAGAAGTTTACCCTGTTCCACAGATACCATTGGCCGACCAGCTGAAAATAAAAAAATCTTAAATAATCATATGAAACAAAAATATTGTGATATTGCTCAAAGGTGTGAATTTGTAAAACGGCTGTTTCTCCTAAATTATGAATTTAAATAGTTCAATGAACTGGAACACAGCAAATTGTAAAGTGTTCATGCACTTACACAACCCATTAATTACCACTTTATAATTGTGGTAAAAACATGTGCTGTAAAACAACATAATTCTCTTTTGTTTTCTGTAAGAATTATGCAGTTTTAAATAGAAAATTAACAAATATTTAATGAAATAAAGCAAGAAAGCAAGACATCAATTAATTGGGAATTTCAAAGCATGTCCCTTGTAATGTCCAGTATATAGACCAACTTGATTTTTTTTATAAAACTTAAATATAATGAAAACATAAAAAATAATAAAAAATAATATAAGTCTTAGGATTCATGTTTCTTGAATTTACGAGAGAAGGAAATTTATCGATCCGGTTACATAATAGAAATTTATCTGGTTACATAATAGAAATTTATCCGGTTACATAATAGAAGTTTATCCGGTTACATAATAAAAATTTATCCAGTTACATAATAGAAATTTATCCGGTTACATAATAGAAATTTATCCGGTTACATAATAGAAATTTATCCGGTTACATAATAGAAATTTATCCGGTTACATAACAGAAATTTATCCAGTTACATAATAGAAATTTATCCAGTTACATAATAGAAATTTATCCGGTTACATAATAGAAATTTATCTGGTTACATAATAGAAATTTATCCGGTTACATAATAGAAGTTTATCCAGTTACATAATAAAAATTTATCCCGTTACATAATAGAATAGAAATTTATCCAGTTACATAATAGAAATTTATCCGGTTACATAATAGAAATTTATCCGGTTACATAATAGAAATTTATCTGGTTACATAATAGAAATTTATCCAGTTACATAATAGAAATTTATCCGGTTACATAATAGAAATTTATTCGGTTAAATAATTGAAATTTATCTGGTTACATAATAGAAATTTATCCGGTTACATAATAGAAATTTATTCGGTTAAATAATAGAAATTTATCCGGTTACATAATAGAAATTTATTCGGTTAAATAATAGAAATTTATCCGGTTACATAATAGAAATTTAAAAATATTTGTTCTTCTCAGTTAGTCTTAAATAAGAGGAGTTATGATTGTAACATGTACGATTTTAATCTTAGCTTTTTAATCTTAAGCTTGACGTGGATGCAGTCCGTTCCTAATCAGTTTGGCGTGAAGCATTATTGCATGTATGTTGGTTCAAACACCTGGCTTGTAAAGCCACTGCAGTCTTTTTTGTCATATTGCAGTCAATAAGTTAATAAATAAGTAATATTTTTATTGATAGTTTTTTTGCTTGAAAACATTTTGTTTTTTTTATATTTGAAAATGATCAATTCTAATTTTCAAATATGTAAAAGCTTTTTATTTAAAGTACATATGGAAATATCATTTTTTTAAATAAAATGCCCGTTTTTGTATTTCTAATATCAACGTCAATTTTCTTGATAAACAGAAAGTTGGACCATATTAACATAATCTTTTCTCATTACTCCTTTAGTTATTCAAAATTTAAAAATAATAGCCGCTCCGGCTAGACAATTGGTTTAAAAACATTCATTTTTATCTATCGATTTTACCTTGTTTTTTGGAGCACTGCATATTCAAACCCCATACGTATCAGATATCAACACCTAAACATTTACAACCTATTTAATAGAAATAGTTTTGTTCACTTTAGTTTTTGTTTACTTGTCTGTTTACATTTTACAGTACAATTTGTAATCGTGTTATCTTGTTTAATTGTTGAATGATTATGATGTCCAGATTTCTTGTTGAGCAGTACAAAGTTATGAAATCTAGTAGCAGGCAATATTTCTTCCTAAAAAGGTATTGTAGACATGATTTCCTGAGACTCTCTATTGAAAGCTTGGCAATGGCATGTCCGATTCAAAATGCTACCCGTTAAAAAAAGATGAATGATATTTTTGTATTCTAAATTAAAATTTAGTATTTATTAGTATGGGTTTTCTATGAAACATTTTAAACTAAAGGTAATTTCTTTTTTTGTTGTGTAATGTATGCAAACATACGTCATACGGTGAACTTCATTTAAAAAGAAATTAATTATCCCACAAGGAAATAAATCTGCCTTTCAAAATCAGAACTCTTTTGAGGAAGTTCAGATTTGGTCAGTGGATATAATTCAGTGTAAATTTGTAATGGGTACCGTTGTAAATATAACATGCAACACTTTAAACAAGGGTTGGGGCCACTTGAAATTTGGTTGACAGTCCCATTAAACAAGCAGTTTTCTTTTCTACTGTAAAATGCATATTGCAAATTATTATGATTAAGTGGCTTACCTGTCTAAAACTTTGTTCCGTAGTTCTTTAAGTTTAGCGACATTTTCCCTAAAATGAACATTTTAAATAAACAAAACAAAATAATATTTAAAAAACTTCTAAAATTATAAATGTAGGCTCACAAGGTCCTGTCCAGTAAAAAGGAATTGTTGCCCCACAATCAGATTTTCTGATCACTATATCTTTGCAAACTATTGATCTGATAAGGCCTAAGACATTGAGTTGCAAATATATAGGGATTAAAAAATATCAGTTTTTGGCAAAAGCTCTATTCCTTTGTGCTGTGTACACTGTACATTATAATACAATTATTCTGAAAATTCTCGCAGTTTTTTCGGCCGATTTTTTAAAAATTTTGGTTAGCAAAAATCTAAAATAGGTTAAGATTTTCCAAGATTGACTGTTTCTAAAAATACTGATTAAATTTTATACAGTTTTAAACTTTTCTGTTTATATAGAGGTATTTTTAAATCTTGGGGCCGTAAGGCCTACCGAAAATTTGGCGCGATCGGTTAAGTCGTTTTCATATTCAGTACGTTGTAACAGATAATTTTTCAGACAAAGATAATTTTTTTATGGATGATAATTGTTTTACTTCTAGGTTTATGTAAAAAAAATTATTATTAGAGTTTATAAAAGTAAAATACAATTGCAGGAAAAAGAGAGAAAAAATTATAATTAAATTAAACTTTTTACTAAAATAAACAATTAATATTTGAGGTAAAGGAATTCTCTAGACTCATTTTAATCCCTAAAGATCGACAATTTTGCTAATTTAATTATAATTCACAATTATTCTTATCTAAATTGCAATGTTTGTGCAGGATCATTTTCCAGGAAAATGATTTTAAATGATTTTTATTTATTTTACGAAGATAGCCATCATAGGAAAAAACACACTTTTTTATTAAAGATATTTATATGTATGCATAAAAATCTATTTATTATTTGATCTGTTACTTAATTCACCTGTAACTTTCCTTTTTAAGGTCATTGTCATTTGAGGTCATTCCTGGAATTTGACTAAAATTTTCAATCCATGGACCGTTATTAAAATTTCTTTTAGGTTTTTTTAATCGTTAAACACCCATAAATTTTTAGGAAAACTAAATTTTGATAATTAATACTTTTTTAAAACAACAAAACAACAGAATTCTTTGTTCGCTACTGTTCATTTCAAACTTATTTATCCCAGATTCTTTATCTATACTTTGCTTGTCTGTCTGTTCGTTTATCCAATAAACGTCGAAACGACTGAACCGATCGGGCCAATATTTTTTGTGGGCCCCAGCCAGGGAAGGTTTATCGAATTTTCAAAAATTTGCCTATAACGAAATCCGATTTTTGAAAGTTTCGAAAATCTACGAATATTTTTTTTATTAAATCCTCGAATTTTTTTCAACGTGTATACAAAGAGAAAATCTTCACGATTAATTAGAAGGTGGGCGCGAAGCACACTGTAAGCCTAGTCAATTAAAAACAGCTTTACATAACTCTAAAATAGTCAATGTTCAATTTCAGTTTTTGAGAAAAAGTCCTTTTAAATGTTTAAAATAAACTGTGAAAATTTAACCAATTTAATCTTTTTACAGCACTGATAAGATTTCCATTTGTATGTGACCTGGGTCAGGGGCGTAAACAAGAATGTATCCAGTGAGGTGAAAATAAACCTAGTAACATAGTTTCCAGGATGGGGGGGGCCCGGGGGGCAGATAAATGTCCCCCCATCCCTGTTTAGTGTATACGCCCCTGCTTCGAAACCCCGGATATAAGATAAGAATTGATATGAGTCAGAAAACTTTTTGTTAACTATACTAATTTACATAGCTTAGGTCACAAAAAAAACAGATTTTGAAAAAAGTAGTTAGTTTGAAATATACGACAAAGTAAAGAAAACAAAATAATAAGACAAAATATCATGAAGGAAATAAAAAAAAGGAAAAAACGTCAGACTTAGAATTAAGATAAAAAACTAAATATGAATTACAGGAAAATTATCAAAACTAAAGAAGATTTTAATTAAAAGGAGAAGTTAGGAAAGGAAATAAAAAAAGAGATCAGCAAAAAATAAAAAAAAAACAAATAAGAAAGGAAAATAAGGGATCAAAACATTTCCAGGACAAGTAAAAGAAAGAAAACTTGTTGTTTTCGTTTGATATATCCATATATATCTAATTAGAGCAAGACATCAACAAATAATAAAACTAAAACTATCAAATTTCAAATTCTAGTAAAATATCTGCACAGATTATTTATGATTTTATCCACAGTTGCTTTCATAATTTTTATTTTAACTTTTTAATAATACATTTAAGTACAGGGTGTCAAAGAAACATGGGAATTCAAAGACGCCTTTTATGTCGTCTTCGATTCATGCGGCATTTTTTTAATCACATATTTATTGTAGTATTCCAGCTTAAATATCTTTTAAAAAGGATGTTTTTGTCCCCAAGACATGATCGGGGTGTTACGTACGAATCTCGGAATTTTTCTATTGCAAAAGTTTGGTGTTGTATGGGTTTTGTATTGATCTACCAGGGGTTGTATTCTACCAGCACATTCATCCGTCCACGCTTCATTTATACTGAGAAGAGGACTGACAAGATTCCAGCAGCCTAGCGCTTCTTAGGCTTTAGAACAGGAGTGCAGGAATTCTTCTGATATACTGGAATGAGGCCATACAGATAGGAAACATCATCAAACTCTTTGCTCCCAATCATTTGTTAGCCTGGATTGGATACCTCCAGGAACCTTATAATATCTAATATCTTCGTCAATTTTTAAGATACAAGTAACGTAAACCACTTTATGAGAAGCTCGTCAGACGTTATACAGCCTCGTTTTTTACTTTCTTTGCCATGCATTAAATTCTAGAATTCAAAGACGACTTTCAAGTCGTCTCTCAATTTCCATGTTTATTGTGACACCCTGTATAGATTCTCTCTGCATGCAGCTTAGATTAAAAGATAATAAGTAGCTTATTCACTTTTAATTCTTTCACTTTACGTTCATGAATAAAAACACATCAATTTATTTTGGTCAAATTGATGTATATTTCGCACTGATTTTTATCGGTCACACTTTTCCTTTGTAAATGCAATTTTTAAACTTTTTATCACCAAATTTCAGTCTTCATACAAAATTAAGCTTTTCCGCAAGTACGCTTTTATAATTTGCGTGGGCCCGCCTCGCTTTACGCAAATGTAACTATCCGGACCGCGTCACATAACTCTATAATAGATATGTTTGTTCTCAGCTATAGATAAGTTGTTACATAAAAAAGCAGACATATTGTGTACTGTGCTAACTCCGGCTTTCTCAAGCTGTCCTCCGCCCCCCCCCCCCTTTGGGAGGGTATTTTAGTCTCCACCCACCCATCTAACCTCCGGCCCTCCCCACACCCCACCCCTCTCTCTTCACAATAGTGTGTATTGATCTGAACTTGTCTATGGGATTGGGTTCTGATTCATAATATGAAATGTCGAAAAATTTATGTAAAATAGATAGATAAAAAGATTCAGATGAAAAGATTGAGATACAGGCCGCAAAAGTACAGGCCCGTAACTAGGAAGTGTCGTAGACGACAGGGGCACGGGATGGGGGGCAAAGGGGGGGAGGATTAAGCACTACTACACAGAAAAAACACATTTAATCTAAAATTTAATGCTTTATAGGAGAAACATGTGGGAAGGGAGGTAGCACCCTTTTCTAATTTTATACGATAGAAATTGATAAGAACGAGCTTGAATTAAGTATGAGTAACAATTGGCTATACAGCATACAATACATTTATATGTATAAAATAAAGAACAGTCAAAGGTTTTAAAAAATAATTTTTAAACTTGTCTTAAGCTTTTTTTTGCAGTACGTTAGTATGTGCAGAAAAAATACAGCTTACAGTTTATATACATTAAAAACCAGAAAGCTAATAGATGTCGTCTTTGTGACTTCCTTTTTCTCAAGAAATGTCGCCCTCATATATATACCCTCAAACCGTTGACTGATCATGGAGGACAGAGAACTCCGTGTATACATCTATTAAATGTTGTGTACAAATTTCAAGAATTCGAATGTGAATATTTATTTTCTGCCACTTTTAGAAAGTTAGATATTCATTTCTCAAATATAAAACAGCCTGCAAACAAAATGTTCAACAATTACAAGCGTTTCCGTAGATAAATAAGGAAACTTTTACCGTTGTGAATCTTTAAATGGAAAGTCACTTTCGCATACAGCCCCTTTAAAGATGATTTACTTAATTTTTATCTAACATCTCTGATCGAAAGGTTCAAGTTGGTATTTGTGTGTTTCATTATTAAATACAAAGACGACTTTTAGACTAAAAACATGGTGATAGTTTAATGAATTGAGTTTCAACATAAAAGTTAAAAATTTTTCTCTACAAATGTAAATTACTAGGCTTTTAGGGTGGTCATCTTCTATTTAAATTGTGTACGCTTTGTATACGCTATAAAACAATAACAAAAACGAATTTAAAAATTTCTTTTTGTGGATTTTCAAAATTGATAAAATCGAATTTTGTTCGAGGCAAATTTTTGAAGTTTTTATCATCCAGAAACCTTTCCTGGGGTCTTGTGAGGTCCTACAAAAATGTGGTTCCGATTTCAGCCATTTTGACGTTTATTGGATACATACACCCAAGGAAAGTATATGTATACATTTTATCTTTTATTTCAATTTTGAACATTTTCTTTTTGTCTACATTGTAAAAGAAAACCAAAAAAATTTCGTGAATTTTCAAATTTAATGAAAATCGAATTTTGTTGGAGGCAAAGTTTTGAAATTTTGATCATTCATAAACCTTCCATGGGGTCATGTGAGGTCCCGCACAAAATGTGGACCCCATCGATTCAGCCATTTTAATGTTTATTGGACACAAACAGACAACTACACCCTAACAGACAAGCAAAGTATATATACAGATATATAAATATAGACGATAACAAGATCAAAAATTCTTCAGATTTCTTCAATTATCAGGAAATTAAGGAATTTTGTTTCAAATTAACAGGAAATATCTAACAGAA